GGACAGGGAGGGGACACAGTGTCACAGGAGGTCAGGGGACATGGGGACAGGGAGGGGACAAGGATATTCCCACATTGGGAACCCCTTGTGCTTCATCCCACCCCCATGGGACATCCTGGGGACAACGGGGGGGCTGGGGGAGCAGGAGGTGACAGGGAGGGGACAGGGAGGTGACAACAGAGTCCCGGGGACATGGGGGAGGACAGGGAGGGGACAGAGAAGGGACAGGGAGGGGACAGGGATGTCCCACAAGGGGAACCCCTTGTGCTTCATCCCACCTGCATGGGACAGCCCTGAGGGGACAGGGAGGGGACAGAGAGGACACAGGGGACAGGGAGGGGACACAGGTGCCATCCCCACCTTCTGCTTGGCGGCGTGCTCGGCCACCATGTCGCTGAAGTCCTCCTTCTCCACCTGCGCCTGCTGCTCCCGCACGTGCTCCTCGTACTTCTGCGTCATGGCCGTGGGGTCCAGCTCCAGCTCCTCGGGGGCCAGCGCCACCTCCACGCCCTGCGCCTCGGCCACCGGGCCCTTGCGGCCCATCACCTGCGGGGACAACGAGGGGACACGGGCAATGTCACCCCCTGGGCTCTGTGACCTGCCAGGGACATGGGGACACCACAGGGACATCACGGGACATGGACACTGCCACCTCCCTAAACCTCTGTGACCTGCCAGGACATGGGGACACCACGGGGACACGGACAATGTCACCCCCTGGGCTCCTGTCACCTGTCAGGGACATGAGGACACCACGGGACATGGACACTGTCACCTCCTAAACATCTGTGACCTGTCAGGGACATGGTGACACCACGGGGACATGGACACTGTCACCTCCTAAACCTCTGTGACCTGCCAGGGACATGAGGACACCATGGGACATGGACACTGCCACCTCCTAAACATCTGTGACCTGTCAGGGACATGGGGACACCACGGGGACATGGACACTGTCACGCCCTGGGCTCTGTGACCTGCCAGGGACATGGGGACACCATGGGACATGGACACTGTCACCTCCTAAACCTCTGTGCCCAGCCCCTTGTGTCCCATCACCTGTGGTGACACCATGGGGACACGGGCAATGTCACCCCCTGGGCTCTGTGACCTGCCAGGGACATGGTGACACCATGGGGACATGGACACTGCCACCTCCTAAACATTCAGGACATGGGGACACCATGGGACAGGGGCAATGTCACCCCCTGGGCTCCTGTCACCTGCCAGGGACATGAGGACACCATGGGACACGGGCACTGTCACCTCCCTAAACCTCTGTGACCTGTCAGGGACATGGTGACACCACGGGACATGGACACTGCCACCTCCTAAACATCTGTGACCTGTCAGGGACATGAGGACACCATGGGACATGGACACTGCCACCTCCTAAACATCTGTGACCTGTCAGGGACATGGTGACACCATGGTGACACCATGGGACATGGACACTGTCACCCCCTAAACCTCTGTGACCTGCCAGGGACATGAGGACACCATGGGGACATGGACACTGTCACCCCCTAAACATCTGTGACCTGCCAGGGACATGGGGACACCACGGGGACATGGACACTGTCACCCCCTGGGCTCCTGTCACCTGCCAGGGACATGAGGACACCATGGGACATGGACACTGCCACCTCCTAAACCTCTGTGCCCAGCCCTTTGTGTCCCATCACCCGTGGTGACACCATGGGGACACGGGCAATGTCACCCCCTGGGCCTCTGCCCCCTGTGGGGACACCGGTCCCGTGGGTTTTGGGGTCCCAGGGGGGCTTAGGGGTGGTTTTGGGGTCCTCAGGGATATTTTGGGGTTTTAGGGTGGTTTTTTGGGGGTCCCAGGGGGGTTTTGGGGGG